CCGCGCGCGTCGGGCGCGGCGCCCCCGAGCATGGCGCTCCCCCGAGACGGCCCCAGCCCCCCAAAGCCCAGGACCCCCGGCTCAGGAAGCCCCCGACGGCCCCTCAGGGCACGGGATCCGGACCTCAGGCCGAAGGATGGCGCCGATGGCCGGCGGATGGCACCGCAGCCCCTCGGCGAGTTACTCACCGGCCCAGAAAGATGGCGGAAAGAGAGCGGGAGGGGCGAGCGCGCGGAGTTATGGGAACGGGGAGGGCTATCGCGAGACTTTCCAGGTGACTCAACCATCCCTCGTAGAAGGGGCGGAGCCTCTTCAGGAGTTGGCAGTTGAAAGTCGATGGAATCGACCCCCCCAGGTGAGTCCGGGTGGAGCTGTCATCGGAGATCCGACTACCTTTTAGCATTCAGGATGTAAAAGGACAAAAAGGGTTGGGAAGGTGGCTCAGTGGTAGAGCGCTTGCCTTGCATGTCTGAGGCCCTGGGTTCGATTCCTCAGCACCACATAAGCAGAAAAAACCAGAAGTGGCGCTGTGGCTCAAGTAAAAGGACAAAAAGGGTTGGGAAGGTGGCTCAGTGGTAGAGCGCTTGCCTTGCATGCATGAGGCCCTGGGTTCGATTCCTCAGTACCACATAAGCAGAAAAAAACCAGAAGTGGCGCTGTGGCTCAAGTTGGTAGGCTGAAGAGCTGAGGGACAGCGTCCAGGCCCCACGACCAGGTCTTGAAAAAAAAACACAAAGAGCTACTTTTTACAGCGATAACAGTTCACCATGTAGAACTGACTTTGGTACTTGCGCATTTACAGTGTTACTGGAAGGTGCCCAGGAAGCGGACCCTGGCTCTTGGGACGGGTGTTAGGAGCTCAGGCGGAAAATTAGCTCCTTCCATATACAATCCTGCTTGATTTGTGGATTTACAGACCTTTTCACGGCAGTTTAAATGAGCTGTCTTTAATGGAGAGCTGCAGGCATGGCTTCAGTGTACAGTACCTAACAAGCTCTGGCACCTACGTTCACACTCAGTACAGAAGAAAAATAATTTTTTTGACTCTCCCAAATCTTAGAGTTTATTGGGGCCCGGTGGTATTTTGTGTGTGGGGAAAAGGGTGAGGCCATAATGTTTCAAACTGCACATCAGGTGACTGAGCTTGATGCATTGGTCTCCAGCAGGAGAACCAATCTGGTGTTCTTTTTGGACCCTCATACATTTTTTATTTTATTGCTATTTTTAAAAATAGCAGTCATAATAATATGTGCCTCAGGAAGGTTGTAGCTGGAGCCAGATGAGGTAATTTACTCCTGGTGCCAGTGTCTGGCGTGTACATTGTAGATGCTTGCTATATTATTTTGCTCTGGAATTTGCCATGGATTGCCCATAATCCTATTCAGAAGGCTGAGATCTGAGGATGGTTTGAACCCAGCCCAGGCAGAGAAAAGTCCTGGGGTCGCTTTATCTCCAGTTAATTGCAAAAAGGTGGAAGTGGAGCTGTAACTCCTGATGAAGCACTAGCTTTGAGTACAAAAGCTCAAGGGTAGCACCCAGGCTGAGTTTAAGCCCCAAGATGCCCCCCCCAAAAAAAACATTACCTGATTTATGTCAGGTATAACATCTTAATAGTATTTTTTTTTAAATAAAAAGGTGGAGTGACTGATGTAGCAGCATGAAGCCTAAAACATGCAAGGTCCTTGAGTTCAAACCTAGAACCAGCCCTAAGCATCAGGTGGTGACCTTAGGATGAGGTTTCCTGGGCTGGCTGTCACTCCCACACCCAGGAGGCTGCAAAGAAAGATCTCAGTCCTTCAGTAGAACAGATCAGAATTTAATCTGCTATGCATTACTCCCTCTGCATCCAAAGATACAGCCATCTGGTGTGAACTCTAATTATGTCACCCAACCACAATTTACCAAGAACCATTGTGCAGAACAGGCAGCCAGGTCTGAGGCCCATGTGTTGGCAGGCTGAACCCCCATTTGTCCTCCCCCAGCCACCCTCACCCATCACACTGCTTCCCTTCCCACAGGACAGCTGCCAGCTATTGGCTGAATGAACACAGTTGAACTTGTTGCTACTTTGTGTTCTTATGGAGTGCCTTCAAAGAGTGTCATGACTATGCAAGGCAGTTCACCACCTGGGTTCATAAATCTAATCCCATGAACTAAGCCAAGCAAGGCTTAGTGACCAAGTAAGGGACACACTAGGACTCGTTCCAGATGTTTTTATTTTCCCCCTTTTACACAAAACAAAATAGAAGAAATGCAGGATTAAAACCGCCGAAGTACATCATTTGGTAGAACATGTATCCACACATACACACACACAAATCTAGATAGGAAGACAGCTTATTTACAATGAGGAAACATGTAAAATTAAGGTAGTTGTCATGGACACATTAAAAAAAAAAACAGCACGGAAGCCAGGATGGGTGGCAAATTTACAGCGGGTAGGAAGGGAAGAGGTGGCCCTTCAGCAGGGGCCGGTGAACAAGCATCAGTGCAATTTGTCCACAAAACTAGTCACCGCGAATCAGCAGGCTACCAAGTGTTCCCAACTATGTCACAGTTTGGCCCTCGGGTTCAAACCTACAAATTTCAACTAAAGTCCTAGGGGCTAAGAGGAAAGGGTGCTTCTGAGAAGCTTTCCAAGTCACAAAATCCACACATCTACATCAAAGGCCAACCTGCCAAGTCTGCTCTCTGCAGCAGCCACGGCCGTTTCTGAGAAACAGTGGAGGAAGATACCAGCTACCCCTACGCAAACCTGTGGCCGCCGAACACAATTTCTGATGCTTTTGAAGGCTTTTTGTGGTCTTAAGATTTGTAGATTGTTTTCTTTTCTACTGCAGAGAATCTGAACTAAACATAGGAAGACTTGTGCCCCGACTGACTGGTCTTGGAGTAAAAGTCACAGATGTCTTAACCTACTGCAGACTTGAGGTCTCACTGCTTTTGCCTTAACAGGCATGCTACAAACCCAACTCTAATCTTGAAGTAAGGAGTCCCGAGCCTTTGAGGACTGAGCAACTTGAGGCAGAAGCCAGGGGAAGAGCACTCTAGTCCTGTCAAAATCTTCACAGGGACATCACCAGTGTTTCCTAGATATGGCTACGCTGGACAGGCACGGGGAGACACCCGTGCTGAGGAGGGTGCGGAATGCACTTCATTTGTTCCCTGGGCATTCTCCCATGCTCAAGAGACAGAATGAGGAATGACTAAATGTTGATTGGTCTTTTCACAAGTAGTAAATGTGTTCTCTATATTCATGAAGCCAGGCAGTTTGGGAGCAGACTGTGGAAGCAGCTTCCTGTAGCCACGGGCCACTATGGTCCACGTAGCTAGTGCACATGTCAACCTGCATCCCAAGTCACTGCTAACTGCATCCTATTATTCTAAAGCAAAATGCTGATCCTGGGGAGGAAAATCAAGGTCACACTCACTAGCAAGTTGTCCCTTTAAGGCCAACTAACAAGAACTCACCCAGCTACACTTGACTTAAAGACACTACGCACAAGGCCTAACTGGGCAAGTGTGAATTCCTATGAACTAAGGGCAGAGAGAAGGAGAGCAAAGCGCTACTGTGTAACATTGTACAATCCAGATAGCGTGGAAGAAAGTGTTCAGGGCTGGCTGGACTCCACGAGCCACAACACACTACTCATTTTTCTTTTCCTTTTGCTTGAGAAGCTTGTTTATCTCCCTCTTGGCCATTCCAGTGTACCTCGAGATGATTCCATGTTGATTTAGTCCAGGAAGCAGTAGCAAGGAAGTCACTTAAAAGCAACACACAAAGTTAGGAGGCAGCCATGAACATCTGACAGAAACTTCTTCTCCTGGGCTCCCCTACCCTCCTGTATCCCTCTCCCTTTGGCACATCACTTCCTATCTTGGTTAGGAAGCTGCCTTTCCCTCTTCCTGAAACCAAGGACCATCAGTCCTCAATCACCTTCCCATCTCCCCCAAGTGCCCTGGCCAGTTTCTTAAACCCGGTAAATACTTGGGTATTTGTTTATTGGCCAACCTGCAGTTGGACCTCTCTGACCACCATGTGCCTGTAGTTGATCTGCACAGACTTACCAATCAAGTAGGTGAGGAGGAGGTTGTGGACCTGCTGTCCCACCCAAGCCACAGCAGAAAGAAGGATGATCATGCTCAGAAAGTACTAGCAAAGGAAATGAAAAGTTATCAACCCCAAGAACAGACCTGATCGGCTACTTAGCAAGTTAGTGTCACCATTTTCCCACGTGTACATACATCATGACATAGAAATGTCTCCATGAATACCCCTCTCTCATGTAGTTAATGTATGCTAATAACAAAAACCAGGGGCTAGGAATGTGGCTTAGTGGTAGTGTTTGCCTAGCATGTATGAAGCCTTGGACTCAATTCCTTAGTACCATGTAAACAGAAAAATCCAGAAGTAGCATTGTGACTCAAGTGGTAAAGTGCTACCTGTGAGTAAAAGAAACTCAAGAGACACAGCCCAGGCTCAGAGTTCAAGCCCCTGCACTAGCCAAAAAAAAAAAAAAAAAAAAAGTCAAACATAACACAACTTTAACTGTTCAAAGGTTAGAAAAAGAGCTGGGCGCCAGTGGCTCACACCTGTAATCCTAGCTACTCAGGAGGCTGAGATCTGAGGATCGTGGTTCAAAACCAGCCTGGGGAGGAAAATCCATGAGACTCATCTCCAATTAAACACCAGAAAACCAGAAGTGGCGCTACGGTTCAAGTGGTACAGCCCTTGCCTTGAGTTGAAGAGCTGAGGGACAGCGCCCAGCCCAGAGTTCAAGCCCTACAACTGACAAAAAATAAATAAATCTATGCCATCTACAAAACCTATAAAAAACTCTAGATTTACTTTATAAGACTTGATTTGCATTTCCTCTTAGACTGTAAGTCTATGTATAGATTAAATGTTTCACAATGTAAATTATGCTATGTACCAATCAATAAGTTTATTGATTCATGTAAAGCTGAGAGTGTTGTGTTGTTAGAGTGTACTTTCTTCAGCAAGAAAAAGAAACAGGCTAGGCATGTCCATAATCCCTACAGGAGGATTGTGGTTCAAAAGCCAGCCTGGGCAAAAAAGCTAGTTGAGACTATCTCACAAAGCCAACTTGAATGTGGTAGTGTATGCCTGTAGTTCCAGCTATACAGAAGGATCACAGTCTATGGCCAGCTCTCAGAAAAGTCTGAGACTCTACCTGAAAAGTAAAACAAAAAAGCTAGGGTTGGGCTCAAGTGTTTTGAGTGTTGCAAAGCAAGCCAACACCTGAATTAGAAAAAAAAAAAAAAAACTCAAATACCACACACACACACACAAAGGCAGAAAGAAACAAAACATTGCCAACTATAATAAAAAATGAGCCAGGTGCTGGTGGCGCACACCTGTAATCACAGCTACTGAGGCGGCTAATATCTGATGATTGTGGTTTGAAGTCAGACTGGGCAGAAAATTCCTTGAGTCTCTTATCTCCAATTCAACACCAGAAAACAGGAAGTAGAGCTGAGGCTCAAAGTAGTAGAGTGCTAGCCTTGAACAAAAGAGCTCAGGTATAGCACCCAAACCCTGAATTTAGGCCCTACCACCACCACCACCAAAAAAAAAAAAAAAGAGTAAAACATAATCTGTAACTTTCAATGATTCAGTCTAATAGAGAAAAATATTATTTTTTGGAGACAGTTTTTCTCTAGGAGTCAGATAATGTCAAATTCAATTGTCCTGCCTTAGGCTTCCGAGTGCGAGGCTTGTAGGTGTGTGCTACAATACCTAGCTGAGTATTTATGAATGCATTTACAAGTTGTACCAGGTTAATAAGAACGTATGCCGATTTTGTTTTTGTTTTTGGAAGTACTGGGATTGAACTAGGGCTCTTTCATTAGTTGGGCAGGCAGAAGCTCTACCACTGAGCCATGCCCCCAACCTTTTACTTAACTATTAAAGCAAAAATGCTATCACTGGACTGCAGTCAAGTCCAAACAAAACTTACAATTTTGCTTTACACTTAAGTGAAAGAATAAGACTAAAAAGTACCACTTTAGGCTTCTCTTCCTTTATTGTAAAGAGGCGTTTCCACCAGCCCACAGCTCTGCGTCGGGTTTTTACTAGATTGCTGCAAATCTCATGGAATCTCTGCTGTTGTTCGGTAGTCCTAAAAAACAATTTTCCTCTTTGTTATAAGCAGGTGTCTGCAGTACACAGAAACATACCATTCTCACAGACTTAAAAGAGGTAATTCCAGCTCAATTCTGGGGACTGAAGTCTGGGCTATGCTAGGCAAGTACCCTATCACTGAGCTACATGACCAGCCCTGACTATCTTCTAAAGAGACTCAATAGAAATATTGGTTCACCACTACCTCTATGTAGGTGAAAAGTTACTGCACCTTTAAGATACTTTATAAATCTGATGTTATTACCATACATTTTTCAGATTCTATTAAACCCTGCATTGTATCTGTGTCCTGCATCCAACTAAAGTTCAGTATTTGAAAACTCTGCAGCAGGATATCACTACTGGTTTTCAAAGCATAACATCGACTAGGCTGCACACATTTGATGCCAGGGCAGTAAGAACTAGCTCAAACACAAGTTCTTTAGTGAGGGAAATTAAAGAGCCATAAAAACCTAGCTAGACCTTCTGAGAAAGCCTTATTTCTTCCAGGTGCTGATTTTAAAAGCAAACAAACAAGCCTGTATTGTCTTTGCTGCACTCTTACAGGCTGACGGTAGGTAGGATGACCTCTGTGGGCCTTCCCTCCTCCAGGCCTCCAGGGAAATTGCAGCTGCAAACTGACAAGGATTCTACAAAGCCCAGGAACTTCTTGCAACTGATTAGCCCTTCTATGTTGCCCACGGTCAAGGCTAAATGGTGTCTCTGTGCTTCTTTCCCACAACATCATTCCACTGAGATGAAATAACACAAATTGCCCAGTAGGGCTGCGGTGGGGCTCAATGCTAGAGCGCTTAGACTTGTAGCCTGTGCAAGGCCCAGGCTCTGTCTCTAGCACTGAACTGATCACCAGGCACCTCGTCCCATTACCAACCCATCCAGTGAGGGAAATATCCTTTGAGGGAAACATGCTTACTGAGCCCACAACTAACACAAACACTTCCAAAATGTGAATGTGTGCTTAAAGAGCCACAAAGTACACACTTAAAATTCTTCTTTTGGGCTGGGAAGTTGGCTCAATAGTAGAGTGCTTGCCTTGCATTTGATTCCTCAGCACCACATAAGCAGAAGAAAAAAAAAAAAAAAACTGGAAGTGGCGCTGTGGCTCAAGTGGTAGAGTGCTAGCCTTGAGCTGAAGAGCTGAGGGACAGCGCCCAGGCCCAAAGTTCAGGCCCCATGACCGGACCAAAAACAAAAACAAAAAAAAAAATCTTCTTTTTTCGCCCAAATTTTATTATTTGCTATCATCTGGGAACAAAAACAAAAAACTAAAGAGCCTAGATCTCAAGGGGCTGAGCGAGATCTGAGGATCACGGTTCAAAGCCAGCCCGGGCAGGAAAGTCCTTGAGACTCTTATCTCCAATAAACCATTCAGAAAACTTGAAGTGGTGCTGTGGCTCAAGAGGTAGAGCATTAGCTTTGAGCTGAGGGACAGCGTTCAGGCCCAGAGTTCAAGCTCCTTGACAGACAAAAAACAAACAAAAAACTCTAAAGGCACAAGTAGAAATCTAATGTAAAATAAATAAACAAGAAAGAATCCATTCCAACATGTAGTATGGCTCATTTGGGGAAATGCTCACACACACCCTATAATGGGGACCAAAGTGTGTGTGAGGGAGTATATGTATGTGTTCACACATGCCCGAATGCTAAGCAACATTCTACATTGAGAAGTAAGACTGCTAGCAACTGGGTTATTTGGATGAAAGGTGAGAAATTCAACAATGTAGAGGGAAGTTAAAATCATTTTCATATGATCCTGACTATATAACAATCATCTTAGGAACACAAAACAATCACACAGTGAATGGTATGAACCAGAGCAATCACCACTTGTATACAGCGTGCATCTTCTGAGCTATGCATTTGCTATGCATTTGGCTAACTACGTCAATGTACGAGCAACTTCGTCTTAAGCCCACCAGCAATCTGAAAATGAAAAGGTCACAGTATGTCACAATTATCTAGGACTCTGAAAGATTAGCTGTTTAATTAATACAGATTTGCTAAATGAGGGCTGAGATGAAGCTACAGGGTACAGTGTATCTGTAGCATGTATGAGGCTCTGGGCTCCACACCACAAAACAATAACATTAAATGAATGTGGATCAAAACTAACTAGCTTTCATATTCATTCATTTGTGAAGCTGGTATTATTCCACTATCTTAAATATCAATGCAAATGTAAATTTGCAACGATTATGGAAAGCACACTGAGTTCCATCAGAAAAATGACTTTGAAAAAAAACTCTAAAGAAAACATGAGCTCTATTAAGCCTATGGTTGATCATAAAGGATCTATGGAGATGTAAGCACTGGAAATCCATGATTTCTAGCTGAAATCAGCTAAGAAATTCCTCACCTAAAAGTAATAAATGTGGGGCTAAGAATGTGGCTTAGCAGTAGAGTGCTTGCCAGGCATGCATGAGGCCCTGGGCTCAATGCCTCAGTATCACATAAAAATAATAAATGTATCTGATGATACCTGATGGCTACAGAATTGTCTACACGACTATAGCATATAAGTCCAACCACCAAAATCAGTAACTTCTCCAAAATGACTGCCAAGTCACTTTGCCACTTACCATTTATTGGAGCCAAAAATCCTGGGCGCCAGAACAGGAACAAGGTAGTCAGCCAAGCATAAAAACATAACAAAACAGGAAACACCGGACAGCACTGATGGATCTAGATAATAGATAATCCTGTTGTTGTTGTTTTTTTTTTAAAAAAAAAAAAAAAGAAAGAAAGAAAGAAATCAGCTGAGGTTGGAAAAGCGCAGTCATTCTTCCTAACCGAAGACTTTATTCCCTCAGTCCAAGGTTCTGAGAGCCAGCATCTGCTGTCATTTACACATTTTCACTTAGTGGTTTTTCAAGAGGCTTCATTACATCATGATGTCATGTTACAGTTACTGAAAAGATAAAAAATTAGAAGCTCTTTTGGGTCCTCAATGCTTTTTAAGAATAAGACCAGGCATTGGTGGTTCATGGCTATAATCCTAGCTTCTCAGGAGGCTGAGATCTGAGGCTTGCAGGTTAGAGGCTAACCCAGGCAGGAAACTATGAGCCTCTCCAATTAATCACCAAACAGCCACAAGTGGAGCTGTGGCTCAAGTGGCAGAGCATTAGCCTTGGGCACAAAAGCTCAGGGACAGTTCCCAGGTCCTGAGTTCAAGCCCAGGAAAGGCAAAAAAAAAAAGGGAAGTGGTGCTGTGGCTCAAGCAGTAGAGCACTCGCCTTGACCTGAAGAGCGCAGGGACAGCGCCCAAGCCGAGCCCAAGCTCCACGACTAACCCAAAAAAAAAGTCAGGGAAGGGGGGTTGAGGCAAGTTAAGAGTCATGATTTATTGAATTGGAATAGGTTGCATTTGCATAAGTTCTAGGTAACGAGCCTATGAGAAGAGACTTCTTTAGGGTTTATGTATTACATAGCCGAGTAACCCAATAGCTGACTTACAGAAACACCAGAGAGACCACACCAATGATGGCAGGTGGGAAGCAGGCCCTCTCCCACCGCAGGACTTTATCAGCTACCAGCATCACTTCTCCCCATCCTTGCAGCTGCTCCTCCAGACTCGCAGTTTCCGCAGCCTACAGAGGACCCACATTTAATGTGATCAGACCCTTTGTGGCTTCTACAGAGTAAGATTCTTCCAAGGCACTGAATACAGTAACACCTCTTAAGCGATTCACTGTCTTAAACCATCTAAATCTCTGCAGTGAGAAACAGGGGGAAGGGAAAAAACACCCTAAACTTTAATGGCTCAAACCCTAACTCTTAAAGAATTTGAAACAAAAAGAGCCCAACACAGTTAACTAATCTCCCAAAATTCATAAACAAAGAGTCACAGGGCATTGCCCAAGGTTAAAGTTTGTTTATTTCAGGTGGTTAGAATTGATCTGCTGTTTTGTCCTTTCATTGATTTAAACCCTTCTAAACCCATTAGGAAAGCTTTCCCTGAACAGCACATTCAATCTCTAAAATAGCTCTTTGTGCTAGAATCAAACATTGGCAGTCAGTGCAGAAGTAAGGAAATCCATCCACTTTCCCTAATTACATACGACACTTTGAACCCAATGGTATCTCCTCAACACTGTTTCTGAACACTTATCAAGGAATTCCACTAGACCTCCAACTGCCCAGCAAATCTGACAGCCAAGGCACACCTCCAGAATGAGCGAATGTCTCAAAAGCCCTTGAGCTGATCTATGGCAGGGGAAAAAAAGGGGATTTAGCAGGTATTTGGGTACATTCATCACTGGGAAATATGCAAATTGGATATAACTCACATTCATTTTAATAAAGATCTTGTCTGTGCTATACAATTGTCACCAGGGTAGCCTCAAAATTCCTGACTTCATGTCCCAGGAAAACTGTTTTATATGTTTATACTTCAACTAACTTTTCCCCAAACCCAAAAAGGTATTGCTACTATTTCTGTTTTACAGACGAAGAAACTGAGATGCCCTGTGGTTAGCAGACTGGAACGCAGAACTCCAAGGCCAGAGGCTCACTTTTCTTAATGTCATAATGACTGCTTTGCAGGAAGGACTAGTTGGGCTGGGGGAATCATGATCTCTATGCCAGGATCTGCCATTTCAACACGACAAACCTGGGCAACTACTCTGTGTCTAAGCTAATCCTCTTAAATAAAGGAGCCATGAGGAAAAAAAAAATTTTTTTTAAGGAAACCACGGGGGTGTGAGTGTAGAAGAGGCCATGAGCTTATAAAAACCAACGCAAAGAGACAATCAGGCACAGCCAAAAGTTCAATGCACTTATCCATGAGGCATCTTAGAGGTGCACAAGCCCAAAGTGAAGTTTGGTTTCTCTTCCCCACTCCGGTACACCGCTGCCTCTTATGGGGGTCGGGGAGGGGAGGAGAAGCCTAATGTTGAAATGCAAAACTATCTTCCCATCCTTGCCTAGACGGTGCGGTCAATTTTGTAACGTACTACGTCTGTCTTCCCCGGACCCTGCCTCCCGCACTTCCCCGGCCTCCCCGATTGCTCTAAAAGTAGTCTCCAGTACCCTGTGACCCGCGGCCCCCGCCCCCCCCGCACGCCGCGCCCGCCGCGGTCCGGACGGCTGGACCCCACCCGCGGGTCTCCGCCGAGCCAGGTGGTGCCAGTTCTCCCCTCCTCCGCGGCAACCTTTGACCTTCCACGCCGGCGCAGGTTTTTAGGGAAGAACGAAGGCAAGTTCAGATCCCCGAGGGGGAGGAGGGAGGAGCCCGCTGTGGTGCCGGGGGTTCCGAAAGCCACCGACCAGGCCTCCGGCTCCGTCTGCACCCCAGGGTCACTTCCGGCCGACCCCGACCCTACTCGTGTCATTCAACGCGAGTCCCCACAGGGGACGTTCGGGGGTCTACCGGACCGGTGACAGCCCGCCCCCCGCCCCCGGGAGCCCCGGAGACACGCGTCAGGGCCGGATCCGGGAACCCCGCGAACCGCGGGCCCGGCCCCGCCGAGCCCACTCAAGCCTGGACGCCTCCTGACGGACGGGCACCCAGCACTCACCAGCAGGTTGGTACATCGGTTATCTCCCTCCGCCATCGTTCCCGAGCGAGCAAGCGAGGAACCCAGCGAGCGAGCGAGCGGCAGCCACCGTCAGCCCCAACAGCCCACCAGACTCCCGCACGGCGACCCCAACGCGGGGGAACGCCCCGTGGGCCGCTTATATAGGCCGGCCGTCGTTCCCGACAGCCTTTGCGAGGCTCGCTTCTCATTGGACCATTCGAGCTCAGCCTCCGGGGAAGTTAGACCAACCGCTGCACAGCGCATGGCTTGAAATCCAGGTCAAAGGAGAGAGAGAAGAGCCGAGGCAGCCTCCAGACGGAGGGACGCTGGCCAATCAGCGTCCAGGGGGGCGTGCCCCGCCCACAGCGGCCGGAAGCCGTTCAACTGCCGCCGCCGGGGGGGGGCGCGGTCTTGACCTTCCCCACCTTCCCCTTCCGCCCCGGGGACTCTGGTTCCCACCTGGGTTGCGTCGGGGAACCGGCGGGGGTGATGGAGCCGCGGTCGGAAAACCCGAGTGGGAGAAGTGTGCCACGCCGGGAGGAGGATGGACACGGGACAGCTGAGCGCCGGTGGCCGCCCGCCTGTTGGTGGGGGGAACCGTGCAGCCGGCACCCCCAGCCCGGCCGGGGCGGAGGGGGCGGAGGGTCGAGGCTGCCGCCTCCTGCCCCGACCCGGCCTTCACCGTGACCTCCTGACCCGGCGGTGTTCCCGGGAAGTCCTGTCCAGCCAGGGCCTGCTGTGTGTTTTCCGGCCGTTTGGGGAGGTGCTCAGTGGACCCGCCGCCGGAGCGCTGTGGGCGCTGGAGGAAGTCGGCTGCGGCGACACCTCCAACCAGCGTTTCAGCACTCAATACCGACGGTCGGTGTTTGTTGAATGCAAAATTCCGCTGAAAGGGTGGTCTCTCCGGGTGTGTCGGATCGATTCGCTTTTACCCCCGAATGGTCGACTTTTGACGGGATTTGAATTTAAATGATTTCCAAGTGCCTGCCAGGTTTTGGAAAGTTGAGGCAAGTCGTGAAGAAATGTTCTAGAAATTAGCAAACAGGTCCCAAACTGCCTCCTGAATGAAGGAGCGAAAGGCGGAAGGACTGAGTGTCCTGGAAAGGTGTTTGTTTGGCCACCGATCGTTTTTGAAGAGTGGGGTCTGAAAGGGGAACATCTGCACCAACGCCAGCACTTCGCTGAAGCCTTTGCGTGAGGAAATGTTGGGGTCGAAGACAGGTTGTCTAGTCAGCTGTTGGGACCCCCTCCCCCTCACACACTGGGGAAGATCTTAACGCCCTGAAATGTGTTGGAGGAGCAAGCCGTCTTCCACTTCTTCACAAGAAAACTTAAAAGGACGCAAGCACTCACTGCGGGGTGAGTGACTTCATACCCACTTCCAAAGGAGAGCCTGCATTAAGCTTTAAAAGCAGATCTACTTTGTGAGCTCAGCTGTTGCTACAGAATACTTGTTTTTTTACTCAAGTTCCCGGTGTACAACCTAAGAAGAAAGGTTTTTCTGGAACATGACATGTCTTGGTCCTCCTGGTACTGAGGCTTGAACTCAGGGCCTGAGCACTGTCCCTCAGCATTTTTGCCTTATGATATTTGTACCCTATCACTGAGCCACTGTCTTTCCCCCCAACCCTCCTTCCCAGCCTCAAACCTCAATCCTCAGATCACTGCCTCCTGAGTAGCTAGTATTGGAGTAGGCCACTGGCACGTGGCCAGCTTTCTTCTGTGTTTTTGTACCACAAAGGAAGTGAATTTTCAAAATATGCAGGATGATTAAGCTGTTAAATCCTTCTAGAGGAATCTTGCTGCAAGAAATGTAATCTTCAGAACATTTCCTGTTTTCCTTCAGAGTTCTGAAGGAATATGTATCTGTCAGTAAGAATTTGGAGTTTTTACTTCATTTCCAAAATTGTGCTTTTATTAAGTTGGCCCTTAATGGATTTTGCCATTGAAGTAAATTTTCTTTCAAGTGCTGCTCAAAAATACTATTGAAAGCATTTACTTCTTTGAGAAGGTTACAGTACTTTTGAAGGTAAACAGTGCTTAAAGGGGCATTGGGGAGGAGACATCATGATCCAAGTCTTTAAGTTTTTCTGGAACCTACTTCAATAAATTCAGACCTTAAATGTTGTATCTTTTTAAGACTGAACCTTTATTTTCTGAAAAACAAATATTTCATACAATCTTCGCCATGTTAATGCAAATATGCTCAGTAGGCATTTTTGTTTCCAAAAGATGCATTATCAACTTTTGCAGGAAGCTGGTGTGATTTATTCAACTTTTAATCTTAAATACAATCACAAAATTATGTCCATGAGGAGGTATTTCCACCTTTTATACAGAGATGCCACTATTTATACAGTGTTTTGTAGGACAAGAAGATTAAGTTCAACTCAACTTGCTCTTATAATAAGGGAGAAAACAAGTGAGGTGTGAGATCGCTGCCACTGACATTACAGGTGGAAACACAGGAGAAACTTAAACCAGAAAAATAAGTGACACAAGAACTTGAAACAGAAGCTGAAACTTCAACTGTCCAGTAAAAGAAAAATATGTATGTATGTATATATGTATAATCAGCCTGTTTGGGAAGAAAAGCATTCTAAATGTCTACATTTCAGAACATGCAATTTTAAGAGGTTACCATTTCTTCAAAAATGCTAATTGACAGTTTTTACATTAGCACAAGTTTTTCCTAGTCAGCCCAGATGAATTCTCATGGAAAGCAAAGGGATTGCTTTACAAGCTAACACTTGAACCCAAAAAGCTTCTCTCAGTGAGTTTACCCTTTTAATAATAAAGCTAGTGACACTGCTATCCAGGCCAAAAAGCAGGAAAATCACAGCAAACCTTCAGGGCTTCATAATATAGTGAATTTCTCCCTCTTCAACATTTGGAAATTTTCATAATGCTAGATTTTCCCCACAGGAGAAATCTCTCTACCACCCTAATACTGAAAGCAAAATTCACCTCTTTAAAGAGACCCTTGTTTTAAAAGGGAAAAGTTCTAGTCCTAAATCTACTGGCATTTAATAAGCTCAGCAAGATATAAAATGGGACACTGGTGTTAATACTAAACATACATTTTTTAAAAAATGCTTAAATGTGCTCATAGTAATGCATTCACTGGTATTTGCTGTATGTAAGTAGTAACAAGCTAACTGTAGGTGCTTTTACTACTATGAAAAGAATCCAGAGAAAAGAAGAACCAGCTCCTTTGATTTTTAGTACTGCCAAACAAGTAAGCCCCCAGAGTAATACAAAAAAGTGGAGGAAAAAAAGTAGGCCAGGAAGACTTTTTTGATTCAAAGCACTGCCTACAGTACCCCGAACTAAGGACCTAAGATTGCACATCAACTCTAATATTTGGCTGTACTTGCATTGCCCTGCTCAGCATTTTTTAAAAATGGCTCTTTCCTTAAATTTCACACATCAGAACAATCACAATTAAAAAATCAAAAACACCACAATGCTGGTAACACCAAACACAGGACAATACTAAGAAAACTACTTCCTAAGCTGTTAAGGGCAGAAGTGATGGATATTTTTCTTTGTAGTACAAGTCCTCCCCCAGAACCTGGGGACTGAGCTCTAAAAACAGCAACTCAGGAAAGAAAATCAAGAGTCTGACTGCCAGTTTGCACACAGAAATCTCACTTAGCTTAAAAAAAAAAAAAACTCAAGTGTCAGACAAAAAAGAACCCTCATCACTCAAAAAACTATGTTACGAACTCATGACCAGAAACAGAAATTAGACACACTGAGTAGAAAAACAGAAATAGCTCCACTACACTATTAAAAACCCACAATCAACTAAAAATTCAGACTAGTCTAGCCAATTAAAGACAACATTTAAGAGAAAACTCCAATTTCCAAGGGTACTTTGAAAAGAAAAGGTTGTAATTACTCTGTACCCCCTGAATCTTGGAAGAGAGTGAAGGGGTGGAGAAAGCGAGAGGGGGGAGTAAAAGGGGGATAGACACAAAAGACATATCCCTGGTTCTCCATGGTATTCTGTCGACAAGCATATGACTTCAAAACTATAGCACTCTAATGTTACATTATTTCACAAAATAATCCCCCAAACACGGCCCTGACTTGTCTGACAAGGCCTTTTACCAAAGTTCACACTGGATGGCTCTGCGCAACAGTGCAGAAGCCACCAAACCCACCAAAGGAAGAGTCTTACCTAGAGTGCAGTGAAGAACACCCTTTGAAGTCCTCTGTGAACGGAGCCCTATAACTAACTACACACATATTGTACACGCCACAGTGTTCTCTAAGGGACTATTTTAAAATACAAGTGATGGATAGTTTTCCAGAGGCACATGTTTCTTGAAATAAAGCTGTCTTGTTTATGCTTGGATAAGGTGCCGGGTACCTCTGATGCCTGAAAACGGGCAGTAAAATTCACCTATTTCACTCATCTTTACCCACATAGGAAGATGCAATTTCTGAACACTACCTCTATGGACAAACAAATGTGCATGGGTTTTCTCCTGGTGACAGAGAATTTGCTCAAAAGACCAATCTTTAGAGCAGAGGTAATCAAGTGGCTAGTACAATAACCCCAAAAAGCGAATAGGAAGTCAAGCAGCCTGCAAAATACAATATGGCGTCATTATTCCAGCAAGGTTGTTTTGACAGTGAAAATGAGAGTTCAAAATCAGGAAAATAAACTTTGGTCCCCTGGATTCTTTAAACTTGCCACTGGACAAATGGGAATTAAAGAATACACCCACTTTCTTGCAAGACTTGGAAGTATTAAGTAGGTACTGAAAACTGAAATTCATTCTCTGGTGGGTAAAGATTACAGGTTAATGGCCCTGAGAACACAGGGAATGCCAAGCCCATGGAGTCTTTCCTTAGTACCCTCCAAGCTTGCCTCCTCTGAAGAGTAGGTAGCAGGACATGACGTGACTACTGTCCACAACTCCAGTGCAAGGGAGATGTGCCCAAACAATTTTGTGTTGCTGTGTGATTTTGACGACCCAAAGGGTGGATTTATTATTTTAATGAAGGGTTTATGTCAACCAGTACTAAGATCTGATGCTAGGTGGAAAGAAACCTTGGTCATGAATTCTCTATTACTGAACAGCAAGCTAGGAAGATTATGCACACAGTAGGTAAAGCAATGTCAGACTAGTAACGGAACTTAAAAGATGGTAGTTCTCACTTCTGCTGGCATTTCGTGTACATGTCCTAAAATGCTAGGTAAACTAAAGCACTTTTAATTTACATGTCACAGTGCAAAACTTTACACTTTGTAAATTAAAAGTATCAAATGAGAAAACTGAATTAAAAAACATTTCACTCTATCTCCACCAGAACATCACTTTATTGTTAATCTGTCATCAACAATGTATAACTCTAATAGGTAGGTGTTCTATTCTGGTTTTGTTTAAAGGTAAAAGATTACATCAGATTAGCTACTATCTATAAAAGAAACTACAGCAATCACAGAAGAGGAAAAATTTTAATGACCTCCAAAAAATGCACACCGTAAGGAAAGGGGAGTGCACATTAAATCAAATTCGGGGAGATTCATCACTTTTGAATGCACAGTGACAATTCTGGAAACTGCACATGATAGAATCACAGAAATGACTTAAATAACCAGAATTACATTTTGTATGTGATCATCACGCCTTTAAACAATCCTTGAATTTTCCACGTTATCAGTGGTTTGGGAAAAATTCATTTATCTCTCCAAATGTAACTTAACAGCATTGAGACTGAAGTATATGAAATAGAAGGATTGAAATAAAAGTGATCTGGAAGATGTCTAATCTAGATTAGGTAAACAGGGAGGAGAGGGGCGGGAAGGAATAGGTATCGGTGGGGTGGATTTTTTTTTCCCTTCATTTCAGAAGTCAGTTCTTCCAATGTAGTGTATCTGTTACACAGCTCTCCATTTTCAGTCCATTTCTGAAATTCATGTCGCGTAGCCTCTTTGTACTTACTGGTCAACCCAACCAGTACTGTTGCCAAGCAACAAGTATTTCTCCAGAATCTGGATGCATCAAATCTTCCTTGGCTGTGATTTCTTCGCGGCCCCAGTTTTCTCTGTTTCTGTGCGGGGTTTGTTTTCCTGGGTTGCACACACAGGGTCAGGTGGAGTGGAGTTCCAAATCACTCTGTGCTCTGCGGCATCCCCATTTCTCTCTCAGCTAACCTCCTGACACGTTTGCAGCTGCGGTGGTGGCAGAAAGACAATCTCCGTGTTCAGGCGGTGAGCTTGCTTTCTTCACCCTTGACCCTGGGGTTGCAGGCCACGGTGTTGGGCGTATCCCTGAGTGCAGCTGTCCTGCAGGACTCACTTCCTAGTGCACCGAGATTTCCTAGGTTTCCTCAGAGTAAGCCCCCAGTCGCATCACCACCGACTGTTGTGTGGCTTTGGATGCCTGAGGCTGAGTTGATTCTGGTGGATGTCTGACCTCGCTTAACCAGACTCATCTACTGTCTTGCCATTCACACCCAGGCTGTCCAACCTTCATACAGCTGAGCCAAGTTATCTAGATTAGTTGCTTCCTTAATGACATAGTCAACCTGTAAAAAGAGGTGGACAAGATTAAAAGCCATGGAGAACTTGATTTTTTTTTTGGGGGGGGGGGTGATTGGGGGGCTTGAACTCTGGACCTGGGTGCTATCCCTCAGCTCTTCAGCTCAAGGCTAGTGCTCCACCTCTTGAGCCACAGTGGCACTTCCAGTTTTCTGGGGTTTATTGGAGATAAGAGTCTCATGGACTTTCCTGCCCAGGCTGGCCTTGAACCGCCATCCTCCTAAGTAGCTAGCATTACAGCTATGAGCCACTGGTACCTGGGCTCCATGGAGAACTTGAAATGACATGTTTGTGCACAAGTTCTAGGAGTTGCCTAAGAGTTTCTAATCACCCAAAGGACAGGTAGCTTCTATGGAGGGAAGAGAGGCTACACACATCTTGGGAAAGTGTCTTTAGATAAAGATGTAAGGGGGTTCTCCTCAGCCCATACCTGCTCTTTGTATGTTACCACACAGAATGATGAAACAAATGTGGACTACCAAGTCTAGGGCATACTTTTCTATAGGTTTTAAGAATTTTCATAATAAACTGCTAGAGGTTAACTCATTCTCAAACTTACATATAAAGTAGTAAGTAATACTAAAGAGAAAATGTCAGTGTATTGGCTGGAAAAAAAACCCACTAACCCTCCAGGAGGCTTTGAAGACATTCCTGGAGAAATGAGGTGACATCCTCTCCAGGTTTCAAACTCTTAAAAATGCCAATGAGTCTCACAGAAGACTGGAGTGGGTCCCCTTTAAATTTGGTTCAAAGAGAACTGAGGAAGAAGGAAAGTACTAACAGGAAAGTCAAAGTGTAATGATGACAGCGCTGAGCTCCTTGTGAATCTTAAACACAAGCGTCTACATTCCTCATGTCTGTGTCTGTCATCACTCTCTGTCAGCTGCAAATATCAGGGCTTGAACTTGTCTGGCATACTTGTTCAGTAAGAACTATCCCACTTGAGTCACACCTCCAGGTCTATTTTTTGCTGGTTGACTGGCTGGCCTCAATCTACATTTCCCAGGTCTCAGCTTCCTCAGCAGCTGTGATTACAGCATAGCCACCAGCACCTGCCACCTTCCTTGATGAACCACCAAGGAAATGTGTAACAAAGATCCTTAAATCCACACTTTTCCCACAGCATTAAAATATGTAGCTCAGGTTTAAAGAGTTAAGTCACCTGCTCAGCAACTGACATCCTCCTGTTCGGGTCGACATCTCGGCCTTCTAACTTGGCTTTCACTCTCTTCCACACACTCACTGCATAGGAGTTTCTCTCTTGTACAGCTATGAAGCAATGAAAACATAACTAAGTCCCATGACAACCCTAAAGGAAATGCTAGGGCACCCTCACCCACACTAATTACCTTTCCCAGTTTTAGGGTCTCTGACTGCCTTCTTGGGACTGCAGGCAACACTCTTGCCAGCTCCTGGGATGGTGCTTGGTGGAGTATCTGCTGATGTAGCAAGATTTTTCTGAATCTGCTTTTTAGCATTCTGTGACATGACATCAGGCTGAGTCTTCTGGGCAGTGTTGCTCCGGACTGCTATAGAAAAAGTGTTGGTGGCTCAATTTACATGTGAACAGGAAATGAAGAACAAAGAAGAAAGCAATGTGGCTGTAGTAAATACCCAAAACTGAATCAAATTAAGTAACTTGATTTTACAACCTTAAAAGTCCTTATCTCTTGACACAGCAATTGGCTTCCTATAAACAGCCTAAACTGTGGTATGTTCAGATATGATCTACCAATGATTATTCACTAGCTTGTGGCAGCATCAAAAAAAAAAAATCAATATCTTAACTGCAATAATGAAAAAACTGAGGTGGCATACTTAGTAATACTAAGTATGCTGTAAAATCTTTAAAAAGTGACAAAAGCTCTCCACTCAATATTAAATAGAGCAGGCAGGCACTGCACTTGCATTTGTGAAATAATCCTGTGTACTTCCACACACATCCATCTAAAAGTAAGGAAACGTGCAGTGGTTTTTACCCTACCTAGAATAAGCCACACCTTTGTTTCTCTCTCTTTTCTTTAATGAACTTTGAAATCAAGGCCGTGTACTTATTAGACAAGCACTCTGACACTGGACCAACACTCCAGCCCCTAAGCTTTTCTATTAAGTATTTTTCCAAATTTTCAACAAGTATATATCTTAAAATTTTATCTAAAAAAAATTTAAAAAAGAGAGAGACAAGGTCTCCCTACACAGCACAGGCTGATCTGATCTCATGAGCTTCCTGCCTCAGTCTCTAGGCTGGGGGTTACAGGCATGTACTAACACAATAAGTTCGTACATTTTTTTTTCAAAAAGCACTTAAATCACAAGAATAATTTTAAAGATAAGCCAAAAATTCTATTGAGTTTAATGTATATCAGGATTTAAGGAAACGCTTTAAAGATGTAATGACTTTATCTAAGTATATTAGACTCTCATATATAATTGAATATCTCAGCATCTACATTATCAACAAATTGCAATCTTCTCCTACCTGCAGCAAAGGATGGCTGACAAGTGGCAGATGCTGTTGGACTCGAACATTCATTTGTTGCATCGGTGACTAAGGGTGATGCAAAACTCACTAAATTATTATAGATACTGAAATACAAAAATTATTAAATGTTTTAGTAATAACTACATACAAAAGTATGAGTAACACTAAACAAATTAAAATGAGACAAATTAGCATTCCAGATGTTTACTTAATTTTAGAAATAGTTCTGGCCAACAGGTATTCTTACCTCTGACTCTGTGTTTTCAGTTCTTTCAAGGTGGGAGTGATTTCCTGGAGCATTTCCACATGTTCCTGACTTCGAACCTGACCCATAGCCTGCACTAAGGTAAATAGAACCGTCTGAATGTTGTCTTGCCATGATTTATATTCACCCAGGAACTGCCTGACACTGTTCTCATAGGGAACATCTTCACCATCTGCCAGAGCAGCTTCTTCATCCTGTAAATGTCACAGTATTCATTAAGAAAAATGCTGTCTTCCCAATTATTCTGAAGGCAGCCACCTATTGACTGAAAGGGGGAAAACATTTCAAACCCAGTGAGTTTAAACTACCTACTACAGGTCTATTTATTTTGTATAGAATGTTACATCTAGAACGAATAAAAATCCAAAGTAAAGCCAGGTGCTGGTGGCTCATGACTATAATTCTAGCTATTCATGAGGCTGAGGTCTGAGAATCATAGTTCAAAGCCAGCCCAGGCAGGAAAGTTTGTAAGCTTCTTATCTTAATCATCAAAAAGCTGGACACAAGGCAGAGGCTCAAGTGGTAAAGCACTATCCTTGAGCAAAAAAACTCAGGGACAGTGCCCAGGTCCAGAGTTCCCACACACACACACATCCCAAGTAAAAACATCCCAAAATTACTGTTTTGTAATGATTTAGCCTTTTTTAAAAGCTCCATTTCCTTATTAACTAGGCTGTGTAGATGTTGGAGAAAGAGACAGTATTTCATTCATTTTGGAGTCAACTCTGTGCCTTGGGGGCAAAGGTATGGAGAGGAAGAAAGGATAAGAACACTGAGTCAATCTACTTAAACAGGGCTATTGGAAACAGAAATTAACTCAGCTGCAAACAAGTTGGAAGACATGATTTGAAAATCAAAATGCCACTATTTTTCCATAAGCAAAAACAAGGTGTGATCCCAAGTAAGAGAGTGAACTGTAGCGCCATGGTGTTAGTCTTACCTTCGCCATTGCTTTGAGGAGATGTTTGACATCTCCCAGCTGTCGGTTATGACCAGTAAGCACAGTCTTGATATTATCCACCAGATTCTGGATTGTTTCACAGACTGTTTCTATGTGTTGCTCCTTCTCTGTCTGAACTGCCCTCTGGTTAGACATGTCCTGTGTCAACTGCTTGTGTGCTGACAGGAGCCATTCAGAGCTGCCAATGGGATGGTCTAGGCTTGTGTCCTACACAAAACAAGTGTGTGTGAGTATTCAGCTTACCTCACTTAACAGTGAGTTCTGTCACCACCATCACCAAAAGACAGGAATATAAATAAGTTCCCTCACTTGTGAGGTAGTAAATGAATTACCTACAAAACAGTACCTAACAATTTCAACAGTCTTCATAAAAGAAGATTCTCACTTTCTGCAAGATCATATAGGCTATAGTACTTAAAAGGCTAAGATCTATTTGTAATAACAAATATACTTCATATATCCAGGTCCCCAAATTCTTTAAGTCAGAGCATCCTAATGCATAAACTAAAACCTTCCCACAAGTCTATAAGCTACAAACTTATCAACTTAGTATTTCTGGGCAGAAATCTTCTTTCTGGCATGCATCTTCCGTTAGTCCTTCTCCAACCCCTGGTCTTCAGTGCCATCCGAATCTCTGCTACTGGCTCCTCCCTTTGAAACTTTTTGGTACTTTGGTTGCGACTCTAAACTCCTTTTCACTTTTTCACTCACTATAGAGTTAAATAGGTGCATTCCTAAAGGCTAAAAGCAAGATTTTAATCATGCTCAAAAAATGTCAACTGAATTATCAGATTGACAGTTTCACAAAGACCTTATCATTTTAAGCACCAAGATTTCTTTCCCACCAAGACTTACCACTCTCTGTAATAACCGAAGCTCTAACTCAGAGACTGAACTGTTAAACTGTGATGCAAATGAGCACATTTGCTGGCATCGCTTGATTAGTTCAAATAATGCAGCATCCAGGTTTAAGGCTTCCGCAGTTCTTGTTCGTAAACTTTCAAAGTGAATGATGTTGCTACAGAGAAAAGTGACCTGTGGAAAGAGAGGCAGAACCACAAGGGATGGGAGGAGAATGCAGTGATGACACAAAACCACTGTCTGCAGAATTCTGATGAGAATAGGCCCTGAAAATGTGCAGATCTCTTGGCTTATAGACCAAATCTTTAAAAAGGCTGTAAATAGGTATATGGTTTAATCTGACAGTATTAGTTCTGAGATTGCCAAAAGCATGTAAGAACAATTAGGTAAATGCATTTCCTACATGATTTGTTTTTACACAAAAAAAACTATTCCATTTAGCTAAATTTATGTTAGATCCAAATTTCAGAAGGCTACCTGCCAGAATGTTCCTGTGTTTCTACTCTTGTATAATTTCGAAATAATAACTGGATATTTGGCAGTACCATCCCCATTTTTAAGTGGCATTAGTAAATAATACTGTGCCATGTTCTATAATAGTGTTAACAAGTACAAATTATTATACTACATTTAATCTTAGCTAGAAGGCCATGAATTTTGTATTTTTACTAAACATGGGGTGGGGAGAAATAGGGAGTATAAATAAGGAGTTGATAATTGTATGATTATATTAAGCTGATTCTGTAACTGATTAAGAATTTCCATAATACATTTTTGAGATTTGTCATTCCTTCTCCACTCCCTACCCCCAAAATCACCACAAAGTTCATTCACAACTTTTGGCAGAGCACTAAGTTTTGGAGCATAAAGCATTTTACTGCCAGATGGAAAAATTTACAATCTCTGGATCACTTCAGCTGCATATAGAGCTTTAGACAAACAGGAAATTAAAATTGTGTTTATTTTTCAACAGAGGATGAATCACTTACTTAATACCTCAGTGGGAAACAGTAAATAGCTAGGAAAATGACAGGGTTGGAGATCCGCCCAAAGCCAGGGCAAGTGTAACCATCTAGCTTATAGATTAGAGGCTCTGCCTTAGGCTGACTTCCAGTAGTGGTACAACCTTGAACCTGAGCACAGTGATGATGCAGCATATACCACAGTACCTGATTTGCTCTCTGGCTCTCTTTGAGGACCAGATTCCTTCTTTCAGCTATTGTTGCTTCAAAATCCTGCAGTACAGGCGCCAGTGCTGGGTTGGCACCGCCTGCCCACTTGAGTCGCTGCTCGATACTTGCTTCAAGGGCTGCTAGTTTCTCCTGTAAAAGCCAGCAGAACCTCTGAATACTGACATTCTCTACTTCCTCTCAAAAATTTCATGTACTACCACTGTTCAGGCTAACCTTGCATGTGTGACCCTCCTGCCAGGATTAGGGTTCATGCCGCCTCACCGGGCTCACTTTGACATTACTATTGTAAAATGTACAGAGGAGCATCAACCTTCCCTTTTCTCTTTCAAGTGCTAGAAATCTTTGAGAAGTCATAACAAGTCTAGGGATGTAGCTCAGTGATAGAATACCTGCTTGCATGAATGAGACCTTGTTCCATCACCAGCACCACAAGGCACCCGTGACTCATATATGTAATCCTAGTGACCTGAGAGGCAGAAATTCAGGGAATCATGGTTCCAGGCCAGCCCTCGCAAAAACTCTTATGAGACATCCATTTCAAAACAGTAACTCAACATGGTAGCACATACCTGCCATTTCAACTACACAGGAGGCTAATATGGGGAAGATGACAGCTCAAAGCCAGACTTTTAAGTCCCCCATGTCAAAAGAGAAAGCTAGGCGTGGTAGTGTGTGCCTGATATCCAGCAATGGCAAGAAACAAAGTAGGGCTGCGGAACTGGCCAGTTTAGACATAAAGTAAGACCTATCTCAAAAAATAACCATATTTTTCTGGTAATAAACAACTAAGTAAACACATTTTTTAAAAATCAGAAAGTGATAGAGGCATCGCTTAAATGGTAGCGCACCTGCCTAGCAAGCATTTAGCCTCAGTACTGCCAACCTCAGTACTGCCAAAAAGCAAAATACCTCAATACAGGGGCTGCAGTATAACTCAGTGATAGAATGAGTGCATGCTTACTTAGCCCATGGTAGGCCTTGGATTTAAAAATAGTTTTTAAAAGCCTGCTACATCAAATTCCTACCAAGCTAAATTCTTTTAAAAGTCCATTTATACTTGGTGAAAGGTAAAAATCAGACTGTCACTTATTGTTAAATTATGAATAATAGTTTAAAAAATCCAAATTAAGTTTTACAAAGCAAAGTTATATCATTATTTACTATTTTGAGTGGAAGCAATTACTCCATCCCAACCCCACCTTTAAAAACTGAGGACCAGAAGTGGTGATGCATACATACATTTAGTGGAGATGGGAGGACTGAGGTACAAAAACAAAACCAACAACACCCTCAAGGAGACCATCTCAAAAACCTAGTTAGGTGTGATAGCACAGTCTATGATCCCATCTATGTGAGAAGCATAGATAATGGTCCAACACTGGCCACAAGCAAAAAGACTTGATCTGAAAAACAAAGCAAAAAGGGGCTGGAGAATTGGTATAAACTGTACAGTCTCCTGAGGCAGTGAGCTGCAGTGGTAAGGAGGGGAAGTCTTTTGAGAACCTAGCTTCTGTGTCTGACTAATATGCTTCTAGAAGTTACTTCAATCTTCAAAGAAGTCATCTCCAAAGAAGTTTCATTTCAAAATTTGAAACATACCTAAGTAATTATACACTAAAAAGAGAAAACAATGTCATTTACTACTGAATAATCAAGTATAAGAATGTACCGTATCAAAATATACATAATCCTCAAGATTACTTATTTTATAAAATGCAGTACTTTCCCCTCTTTAGTTGAAAGTATATAGTCAGCAATTGTTCAGAAACATGTTCCGCTGCCTTGGACATCAAAAATACAAAAATAAAAAACACCATTATCTACAGGACAAGAATCATGTTCAAGCTTCACAATAAAGTAGATGTAATATTTTTAATTGTCACATTTTAACAAAGAAGTGCTGAAGTTCTTCAATCAGCGAGGTTCCCTTAAGGTAGAAGCACAGTTAGCAAATTTATTAAAAGCATGAATATCTAAGCCTACTTCTCGCTACCCCTGCTTCACAAACTAATTTTTAGTAATAAGGTTCAATTACCATGGAGGGCAAAAAGTAACAAAGTCAAATGAATCCTAACAATGCAGAGACTGTGCTCTATGCTCACGTGGTTGGTAAACCAGAGACAAATCCAGACACCCTGCACACCAGGGACAACAAGCACAGACACTCAACACCGGGAACAACAAGCACAGACACCCTGCACACCATGGACAACAAGCACAGACACCCTGCACACAGGGGACAACAAGCACAGACACCCTGCACAC